TCCAAATAGCTATGAGGATATTTTTTTAAAAGCAGACTCGTTTTTGGACTTAGAAAATCAAGGGTGGCACTGTGCCGGGTGACCCCTAACCCAAAGGACCAGGACTGCAGGCGGGCCTTTCCAGAGCCAAGTGTCAGTACCAAGTTTTGATTTTTAACACAATGCTCGAGACCATTCCAAGAGCCGGCAGATGGTTTTATAGTTTATGTAAAACTATAAAATGCTCACACTCTATCAAACGGGCACCAGTATAAAAGACATCTTCGGATCAAATGAGGCAAAGCCAGAGAGATACACCAGCTGTTACTCGGGAGCATTTAAAACATAATAGTAACATTACTGTGGTTTACTTTTAAGGAGAAATTATTTGGAGTTCATGTATGTGACATATTCATGACTAAGCTGACAGGCAGTCTAGTTCATTCAATGATAAATTGCTAAGAAATACAATTTTTACTTCACTATAACTGCGGCAGCCACATAGTTCTATCCTCTGGTGTTCTGGTGAATCAGGCCAAAATGAGCCAAAGTCTCAAAGCAAAATGTGGAGGACACGGTTGCAGGATACTATCGCTGGAACCATTTATAAATGTTTTCTGCTAATTTCTAAATAATTTTAATTTAATTTAAAATGATTACTTTTAAATGATTTTTTACATCTAGGTAAACACAAGTAGGTACAGCAGTATGTACATGGAATTGGGTCATTTATTGAAACACACATAACACATTTAGAATAAGAAATCAATGTTTCCTTTTAGTACCAATTGCCTGTGATGGTTTTGAAATATGAACATTTAGCAATGTGTAATATATTTTTAATACCGGTTTTCACTTAATATCTTTTGACCTAAGCTAAACGGTAATGATGAAAAATAGACCATTTGCTTAAAAGCAAAATTCTTATTAAATCTAAAATATGATGGCACCAAATCAAACCACAGGGAAAAAGGCCACATTATGTGAGCCCTTTGTTTTTCTGAAGAAAAATAATGAATTTTCCCACACCGTACAAATGAAAAGTAGACAGTCAAATTTACTCAGAAGACAGGTTCTGTAACAGTAAATCTCCTTCTACTACCTTGACTGTGATCCTAACAAGTCATTACATTATTTCAATTAACAGAATAATTTTTCTAGGGTGAAAATAAGTGCAATTTACTTTGTCATTGTTGCTAAAGTTTCTTGTCAAATCAGACTTCGAGTTGAAAGGTCTGAGTAATTCTAGCCTATCTTAAACTGCAACTTTATTTTAAACTTCTGTATTTTATTCCAGTAGAATTTTAAGTACACACTGTATACATTCCTCAGGTCTAGGCATATTAAGTTCTGATGTTAAGCAGAAAGGGAAACCATGTGCAACTAGATTAATTTATCTAAAGGGAAAAAGGGCACATTAATAATTGAGATAATGTTTTCATAAATGTTGGAATCAAATGGGTCTTTTCATTTCTTCATTAGAAAACACATTAGAATAAAATTATCTCACTCTCATCAATAAGACCTAATTGCTGAGAAATGTCTTCAGAAAGATTTTTCCCATCATGTTCAAATACCTAGAAATATATCACATGCCCAAGTCTTGCTAGGATAAACATACATAATCAAGGCACATGATAGTTTTAAATGAAAATGTTGCAGGGTGGATTAAACAATCTTATTTTTCACACACAATAAAAATCAGATTCTCAAAGAAACTGACCCCAAAATTGACCAATCATTTGATTTTTAGTTTGTCCATTTTCTTAACCTATACAAAAATTGCCTTTTCTTATTATTAAAAATAGAAAGAAAGAAAAATCCTTATATTTCCTATAAACACCACCAAAGCGTCAAAACATATTGATGGTAATGGAATAATAATAAACTTTCTTTAAATATTAATGTTATGTTAAAGAACCAGGGGTATATACAAAGAAAATATTAACTAAAAGACGGCAGCACCCTTGCTAACCACCAAGCGCACTTTCTAGGGCTGATATGTGTTAAATATTAAAAAATCATTTTTCTACAAAGAAAACAGAGCATTTAATGATTAAACAAAAGGAGCAACTGAGGTGAATCTGATTGTTTCTGTAATAAGCCTTCATGTGTATAATAAAGTACAACCATACTAAAAACAATGAACTGTAAACTGAAACAAAAATCCATCATCTACTTGGAAACAGTGACGGGGAAAGATTAGCAATCCATTTATTGTCCTGAAATAAAGATAAGTAACCCTTGCAAGATCCAGCAGGACCTGCATATTGAACTCTAAATACAAAGACATTTCTTCATCAGCAAGTTACTTTAAATAATGTGAGGAAGAGAAAACATTACAACTGACTTTTAAAATGAAGTGGTTATGATTCAACTGCTTTTAATTTTTGAAAGATCTGCTTTATGTCGACCTGATATTCTGGAAGATATCTAAAAGAACATGTTTTAAAAGTGGATAATTATTCCATGAGTCATTAAACAATTATTCCTGAAAGTTTCCTATAGATCTACAGTATACGCCAATTACAGGTTCTTTCTAATAGAAAGGATATAATGATTAAAAATCTTTCACAAAGAATTGAAGTTTGCAAAGAAAGATGAAAACTTAAGGAACAATCCCAAAATTAGAATCTTCTGTTACTAATGGAACTTATTTCAAATTGTCCCATTTCATAAAAAATAACAAAGCATGTGTTTAAAACTTTTAAATAAACTCATGCTTCAGAGCTTAAAAATAATTATATGAATAGGAATCTGAAACCTATTAAAGTCAGTGTTTCATCTTTCAAGGGGACATTGGCACGAAGTTACCTGGCCTCAATCAGTCACATTTATATGATCTCCCAGGAGAGTGACACATTTCGCATGTCTGTGGTTTTACAATCCTTTCAATCCCCTAAATGTATGTTATTCTAACTGTTCTTACATATGATAAAAATACAAAGATTATGCCCCAAATTTAGGGCCCTGGAGAGCATCCAAGTATACACCCAGCAAATCTTTTTTGATAATACAGAACCAACTCCACGCTCCCCCACCCCTACCCACACAGTCAAGTCCTACACTCCCGACAGCAGGCACAACTCTTTAGCTACGGAAGGACCCAAATAATTCCCCAGTACATTTAACTACAACAAAATTTTAACTTCATCAAGTACAAGTAAACTCTCCCCAGTTGTCAGCACTAACGCATATTACTATATTCTGCGTGGAGAGCGATCTCCTGCCAGCACCACAGTCATCACAGCCTTTTACAAAAAGAAAGAAAGAAAGAAAGAAAAACAAGAAAGAACCCAATGAACTTTTTTTTTCATGATGATGGCTCTGTCCCCTGACACCCTGAAAATGCCCTGAGGCACCAGAGAGCTACTTAACAGTGTCCTGCTGTAACATTTTCTAATAGAACATCTCTGTACCTCTGAACAATTACTTCATCACTTCCTGAGAAAAAGTACTGGCTACCCTTTTACTGGGTGGTGTAAGAGTGCCACATTGGAGGTTAGAACTGATTAGTCAGAAACAAAAGTCAGTTAGGAAATATTTCACAACCAGACGCTTTTATCCTTTCCTACCTGTCAATTTTTCCAGAAGCTCTAACTTCTCCACCTGCCTCAATGGACCAACCCATTTTCTCCAGCCATATTTTCCTCTAAAAATTTTTGTTTAAAAAACAAAACAAAACAAAACAAAAAACACTGGCTGGCAACATAAATATGCCCAGTTTGTTTTTCTCATTCAAGAATCCTACTCTGAAAGACTGAAAATGTATGAAGTGAGGGCCTGGGTAGAGCACCCGTGGGCAGCTGTGGGGTTGTGATGCCGACACTTAACTCCGCCCCGACCCAAGGTAGCCCTGCAGACACAGGCCTCAGCATCTCACTGAAGGTTCTGGACACCAGGTCTTTTCACTCACACAGTGCTAGCCAGAGTGGGTGCTCAGCCAAGACCTGGAATGAATTCCTGAGTCCCATGAGTTCTAGTCAGTGGCTATTGGGCAGCTCACAGTGAAATGATCATTTTGACAGGACACTGAGTTAAGTGTGAGGGGGTAAGTGGAAGCAGAATGACCTATTAAGAGTCCAAACCAACTTGCCCCCTGGCATTTAAGCAATTTTCTTTCCTGGGTATTCCCACTCAGTTTTCTTGCCTAGCCTCAGCCACAGTTACCTATGGTGTAAGCTTCCAGCATGTTGTATTTTATAAATAACTCCCCATGGGTGGATGGGTGGGAGGTAGCTAGGATTAATGGGGGGTGTCACCCACCTGAGGGCTGTCTCCTTGGGAGTGAAACTTAGTAATCAAACCTGCATCTTAAGGAAAAATTTTCCATTAATGTTTTTCAGATTGGTTGTTTATTTTTAAAGAATAGCATCTGCTAAGATTGTGCCACTGAAACATTATCACCCACTGGCTTATACCCAAGCACTCAGTTGCCGGATACTTTGATTTTCTACCTACTTGCAGATCCCTGTTTAACTGTGTTTTGTCAGGGAAGCAGCAGAATTCATCATTTCTGGTTCACAATATGATCTGCCAAGTTCGGGAACATGCAAAATTGGGAGATGCTGCAGCCTCACAGTGTTTACAAATTTGTTTTTATCTGAGAAAACGAGCCTGACTCTCCTTCCTCCTGTTATGTTCCCTCTTGACCAGTGAGCAAAAGCCTATCAGAAGAGCGCAGAACAGGTCGGAAAGGTCACTGAGCTCACGCCCCAGTGCCCAAGCCCCTGGACTCCACCTTCTCAGCTGCTTTCTCTTGATCTAAAAAGAGAAAGGATAGAACCCAACCTGCAGGAGCTCGGGCAGGCTAAGGTGACTCCATCTTCAGAACCCTGTAGCCCTGTGTTTCTGGTGGGGGTGCTGCTGTGCCAGGTCTGGCAGTGCAAGACCCGAAAATCTATTCCCCACGAACCTCTGGGGAACACACAGGCTCTGCCAGAGCTGCCACGGGGCCACGGGCTGGCTCTTTGCCGATCAAAGCTCCAGCGGGTAGCAAGGTGCTGGGCGGCAGCACTTACCTCCCAGAGATGCTGCGTGTTCCTCACTGCACCCGCCTGCACCTTCTCAGGGGGCAGAAGCACGCCCTGGAAGGGCCCAATCCAGGTGCCCTGCTGGATCCTCTGCGCCGCGCAGATGCCGTAGGCCAGGCCGGGCACGGTGCTGGTGCACAGGCACACCTCCCGCGGCAGGTCCCGCAGCCACTCTGGCAGCTCAGGCGGAGGCGCGGCGGCTGCGGCGCTGCTGGTGCCCACGAGCCGGCGCAGCGAGTGCAGCGGCCCGTGCATCGGGCACTCACCGTTGCGGTTGTCTGCGCACATGTCGCAGCCTGCGGGAAACAAGGGAGGAGGGGAGAGGGTTACCCCTGCAGCTCGAGGTCCAAGCTCCGGGAAATCCCTGAAACAGGGCCCCTGCCCTGTCCCATAAGCCACCTGAGGATGCCTTGGGCACCTAAGTCCCTATGGGGTGAGTCCTGGGTGGCCCAAAAAGCCTTTGGAGCTGAGAGCCCATGGCTGTGTCCTCCTCTTGGAACTGCAGGCACTGCTTCTCCTGCTGGCCCCTGTCTTTCTCTCCTTTTGCATGTGCCCCAACCTCTCTCCTGCTCCCGCCAGCTCTCTAGTGCTTCCAGGTGTTTATTGCTATAACACAGCGTAAGTCCCCTTTTGCCCAATCTCGGATCTGAGGCCACATCTCCTACCTGTCTCCTTACAATTACAGAAGAGACTTTAAAAATCAGCAGGTCAGCTGAACGACCTGTTTGATGCCAAGTGCCACTGCCATTCCTTGGGAACAGCCCCCTGCGCCAAGTGCCCAGAGCAGAGGGCAGAGCAGGCCTGGGGTCCAGTGGAGCCGGAGCCCCAGTGCACAGTCACAGAGGACACACTGCAGCTGGGGACCCGCCAGCACACCCAGCGACCCCTACTCCGGGCACTCACGCTAGATGGGGGCAGGTGGGACATGGGAGGGGTTCTGTTCTGGAGGGGTTAGGGTACCCGCGCTTGTGGGCAAACTGTCACCAATAGCCAAAAAGAAACCAATGGCAAATGTAATGATCAGGGTAATGGGCCTTTAGTGATGGGATAACAGTTCAACGGGGAGGGCCCCAGCGCCAGCACAGACAGCCGATCCCCAGGCTAAATGAGATTATCTAGCATTATAAACTAAGTGAGAGCTATTATAAAGCCACCCCTCTCTGAAGCTCTCCAGAGCAGCCAATGAGCAGGAACCCCCACCCTCTGGTCAGGAGGCTGTGGATGGCCAGTGTCCATCGACTGGAACTGGGCAGGATAAGGCAAACCGGCTGCAGGAAGCAGGGCCTGCGGCAACCACGCTGTCGGTTTGCAGCGCCCTCCAGGTTATTAATGGGCCTGGCGGAGCCGCTGTGTCTGCGCCCTGCTCAGCAGACCTGCCTCAAGGAGGCAGCCTCTCCCCCCCAGCCCCCACCCCAGTCCCTGCTGGTGCAAGAGGCCTCCTTAGCCTAGCCTTCCTGGGGAGCCCCTGTGTCCCTTTGCAAAAAAGCGCCTGTGACTCAGAACCTGCTACTGGGCCAGTCCTGGCTGGCAGAGACAATGAGAGCCGGGCAGCAGCAGAGGATTGCTCTCAGGTGGCTGAGCGCCTGCCTGGGCTCCAGGCACATGCACCTGGCCTTGGAGGTAGCCAGGCCAGGTGGTGTGCCCTACCCATACTGCAGCTGCTAAACCACCAAGGAAGGTGTGACAAAGTGAACCCTGAGGAATGAGCATGGTGAGGGGCCCCTCTGTCTGCCATTTCCTCCCCGCAGATAAGAAAGGACTCTGAGCACCTTAGAGGTGGATTCTAGCCCATGGCCTTCCCCTCAGTCAGCGCTTCCTCCATGCCTCCCAAGAGAGCCCAGGAAAAATGGGTCCTCCTGCCTACAGCTTGGTGCAAGTGTCCCCAGACGTCTACAGGAAAAAGCAACAATCTGTTTCTGCAGCCAGAAACAGCCAACAGCCTGTTCCTGTATCCATGGCTCTGGACCTCCCTCACACAAACCCCCTCTTCCAACACACAACTAAAGTAAAAACTGGGTCAGGCTCAGCTTTTGATCCTAGGACCAGGTGAAAGGACGCACCCCCAACCTTATCCGTTTGTCACCTCCTCCAGGACACGCACGTCACATACTCACGCAAGCTTCTGAATGTAAAAATAAAAACTTACAGATGAAGAGGGGCTGCAAAGACAATACAACTTATCGAGTTCCCCAGCCCCCCCTAGGAGCCAGGTGCCCATCTCAAACCAAATCACCAGCACAACATCTAAGTATCTTGAGTCCCATTTTGCAGATGAGGCCACTGAGGAGGCTTCCTGAGCAATGTACCTTGACCAAGGGTCGTAAATTGCAGAGTGTACAGAAAGATTCACAATCAGGTCGGCCTGACTCCAAAGACGAATGAAAGCTGGGAGAATTTTCTATCCAAACTCATAAGTCAGGCTGTAGAAAAGAAATACTTCACTGAAGCAACTATATTGGGACCACAAAAAATTGCTGTAGCATGCCTGGGTTAGAGTTTTCCCCCACGTGTTTCCCACACTCTTCGGCTTGGGGAGGTTCAAGAGAAAGAGTTAAGAAAGCAAATGGACAATGGCCATAATTTTGAATTTCTGTGCCTCACTTCAGAGATAGCCTTTCAGCACCTGTGTAAAAAAGCTGAAATAAATGACAATAGGCAAAGGCAATATGCCCACGAAAATAAAATAAATCACCCCAGGAAACTGCTCCACAGACTTTTCTTTCTGCTTGGGTCAGTGACACAAAGAGTGTGAGAAGCCAGAGCACTTGGTTTCCACTGCCCCGACAGTCTGCAGCAGCGCTCTTGGCACTGCCCACATCTCCACGACACAGAGCCCTCACTGGCTACATCAGACACAAAATAAGGAGCAAAAGCACCAACTTCAGCCACCTCCCCCACCAACACCAGGCTCCGTCCAGATCCGTGCAACGCATGATACCACTGTCCTGCAGGCCTCCTCCGCTTGCTACGTCCCGTTTGTCTCACTGGGAAAAACTAAATAGCAGCATTTTGCAGAGTGAAAAGCTGAGGCTTTCCCAAAGCTGAGGCTTTCCCAATACCGAGAGGACTGCCTCTCTGTTAGGCCCACCAGGGAGCAGGCAAGATCAATCCACGTTAACTAGTCTGCCCAATGTAACTGTTAATTTGTGAAACACCTCACACGACATCAAAATATTCTGCCAGAAAAGTCAAAATACAGGTTACAGCCTGATGCGATTGCATTTGTATACACCAAACACTGGCCACTGAGGCTCTCTGGCTTCTGACTGATGTCTCACAGTCCCGAAGGAGCTTAAGCATGTTTAGAACAAGTCAGTCATGACTCAGAGTCGACGACTGTGCAACGAGGGGACATTCTACCAGTGGTGTCTAAACAGCGAGCCACAAACACCTACATGAAAAAGTTGGGGGGAGAAGCTGAACAGATGCCCCAATTACACACACGTGTTTACTGACATACACATATGCATGTGTGTATACGCATAATACATGCACTGCGTATGCATGTAACACACCTATAATCACACACAGCAGGTGAGGACAAGCATCTAGAACACATCTGTTCGTCTCCGTGAAGAGAGGTCAAGTAAAGTTGCTGCTTGCTCTTAAACTCACTTAAGTTTTGGTACAAGTTCATCATTATTCAGAAAAATTTCTGATATCTGTCAGGAACAGCCTCATGTTCTGCCAGCAAGACAGTCTGAAATGTCATCTAGGGCATTATAAGCACTCCTGGCCCCTTTTCCATTGTCTGTTAATGCCCCTGAATATTTATGGATCCTGAAGGACTAAGGAGTATCCTCAGGCCACAGATGTGCTCCCCTGTTGACTTCAGCAGCTCAGGCCAAGAAGAGACGAGCAGGTCTTCAGGCGTGGCTTTCTGTCGTTCTGCGGTTTTTGCCTTTACAAGTGCAACTTTTGTGGCCTATGTTAAAGGGAACAAAGCGCGCCACAGTTTTCTAGTATTTCATTTTGCTTTCTAGGAAAGTTGGGCTGCAACACGTTTGGGGGTTTGATTTGCTGTTGTGTGGGTCAGGATGCAGGAAGCATCGGCTACTCCCTTCAGCCTTCCCAGCCCTCACAGGCCCGCTGCAAAGGGACCAAGTTGTAGCTGAAAAGCCTACTGCAGTGGCCCCGTGGCGGCAGTAACCCCTGGGGCTATCCATCCTCCACTACCCCAAGGAGGCCAGGCCCTCAGTCTCCAAGGCAGAGGCAGCAGGGCTGAGTCCATCGATCCCCTCTGGGGGCACGGCCCAGGGAGTGCCGCCTGCTGGCGGCCCAAGTGAGCGCTGGTCAGGCATCCTGGGGCAGGAGTCACAGGGGAAGACACCAGGGGCCCCCAGCGGCCTCTGGCCCTGGGGCTCAGCCCCCACCCCCAGGCTGGTCTCCAGCGCCTTCTCCCCCTGCACTCCCAGCTAGACAGGGTATGCATGTGAGATGCCCGGGGGCAGCCAAGCGTCTGCTGGCGGCAGTCCCCGCACCTAAGCCTGAATTCTGAAGGCTTTGCCCCTGCCAGCACAGGGAGGGCTTGCAGGGTCGCTGCCACAAACACTGCGGGAGCCCCTGCCCCGCCCGCTACACACCCATTCCTTTCCCTCCACCAGAGAAGGGTTTTCTGAGCTTCTCCGAGGGGACCCAGAAGAAGATCCAGATGCCAGGCAGGTTGGCCCAGCGGCGAAAGGGCGGCGGTTCGTGACCAGTTCCCGGAGGAGCAGCCCAGCCCGGCACCTTCTGGGGTGCTGGGCAGACAGCACGGCGTTCCCCAGCAATCGGCAGATGTCCTGAGCCTTTTCTGCTGGCCAGACAGCCTACTCAGGACCAAGAGGCTGACATAATGAGGGGGAGGGCAAGAGAGGAGGGAGGAAATGTGGATTTTATTTGTTTCCCGATGACTGTATTAATAAATTAAACGGGAGCGCCAGGGTGTGAGGGCGAGAGAATATTGCAGGGAGATAAACCTCGCCGGCCCCTGCCCCTCTGAGGCGGCCTATACAATGCGGAGATGATGAATAGGAGGCGCGAGAGGAGATCGAAGAGGGTCTGGGCTGGCTCCACTCTCTCCCACAAAACTATAGGGCAATTAATTGTGGCTTGTCCCCTCATCCTTCATCTCCGGGTGGCACATATCGATGGAGATTACTGCTGATGGACCATTTTATCACCTTAAATAAACAGTCGCCACCTCCTCTAACCTCAATCTAATCTATGGCTCTATGCTCAGTTTCAGGGTGCTAGACACCACGCGGCGTGAAAGGGCTGAATCACGAGCGTTACAGGATGGGGCTGAGGCTGCCCCCCAAAAAGAGAAAAACAGAACCGCACAAAACACCACACGCTGATGCAAAGCCTTCCTCCTAGAGGGGGGGCTGGAAACCCCAGTCCCAGCTGGCCACTGACCTGGGCGCTAGGTGGGAGGAACCCAGGAGAGCGCCTGGGGGGCTTCAAAGAGCCCGGATGCCAGTGCGCCACCGGGCTCAGAGCTTCCCCAACAGGACCTGCCTTTGACCAGTGCGTGGGAAGAAATGAAGGCAGGTGTGGAAACGCTCCCCTCCTTATGTCTTTCCCTGTCCCGACAGGCAGCAAACCAGTATTGAGCCCAGGAGTCCTTCTCGCCCCCAAGCCCTCGCCTCAAACCCTGGCTATAGGAGAGCCTCTGGGGTGAATCCCACGCCTGCGCTCACACTGGTCGGCACTGTTCCCAGAGCTGTGGGTCACCTGTGCAGTGTGGGGCTCCCCTGAATGGGAGGAGACAGAGCTCTCCAGGTGGGGAAGTTCTGCACAGACAACCCGATTCTGCGAAGAGAGATGAAGTGGAACTTAGCTCCTGTCTCCCTCCCAGGTAACGGGGGAGAAACATCTAGACAACATGGTCTGAAAGACTAACTGGCTAGCAGCCCGGGACACAGCCCAGGGTCCTCCACACAAATGCAAAGCCAAGAGCACCCCGCACCCCGGGGCCTGCTCCATACCTTCCAGGAGTAGTGACAGGGTCTCAAGCAACCTGCCCCCAGAAGACGAGAAGAGCCCACAGTGAGCAGGACCCTGATGCAATTGTGGCTTCAGGCAAACCCAGCAGCAGTAAGAGGAAGAAAGGACCCCTCCCCCAAGAATATTTCAGAGCACCCCACCCCATCAGACTTTAAAAAGAGGAAAGAGACAGTTAAGCCTTCAGAGGTTCACTGGAAAGTGCTTCAATCTCTAAATAAATTGACACAAGTAGTCAGGTAGCAGCAACTTACTGGAGGAGCTCACTTGAATAGTTTCTGCTGTTTTAAAATCTGTCAGCATGACAGAGAGATCCAACACCCTTTACTATGCCTTCGCTGTGGTATTTGTACTCGACTTCCACAAATTCATGGAGAAACTGTTACTTTTTCATTAGTGATTTTTGGATTGCTAATCCCAGGCCAAAAAAAAAAAGTTACTCTTTTAGAAGGAACAGAGAAGTAAGGAGAACCCTTTCTTTGTCTTGTAAGAAAAGGAGAAAATGACCGAATACAAAGTAAAAGAAAAAAAAAAATGAAGCAATACCCAACAGTTCACAGATTTCTCAGACTTGATAAATTAATAGGTGCTTCCCTGGCCCCTCTTGCTCCATCCCCACCCCCACCCAGCCTGGGAATGAGAAGCTGCTTTCACCATCTTTCAAGTAACAAACATACCAATTTCCCCTATCAAGGGGTGGGGGGGAATCTTCCCAGCATTTGCATATCTGATTTGTTTTAAGCGACTAGTTAATAAACTCATTTCCCTCCTCACTTTCCCTTAGTAAACACACCCTGTAGTGTCAGCTGAGTGCCTGTGAATGCGCAGAGAAGCTCCTGGAAGAACAGAAGAGCCCCTTCCACCTGGTTCCACGGAACTACCTCAGCTTTCTATTTGCTCTCTCAATTGCTCTTTAATTAGGAAGTAACGTGACATGGGACTCTAATAAGACAATCTGATTTTCCACTGCACTCTGCACACTGAAGCAGTCCAGTCCACTCAAGAGAAGAAACCAGAAGATTCACACTATAGGAATAATTTAAATAAATCATAATTCATTTCCTGTAGCCAGAGGGGGGAAGTTACCTAGGCGATAAGTTGGCTCAATAGCCCTATATTAATTAGGAATCTATCCCAATTCTTTCTCTGATTACTTTAGGTTTTTCTCTGGTGAAAATGTATTGAAATTATGAACAATTATAGGAAGCTCAGCACACAGCTAGGGCTTTGGGGTGCAAAGCCTGTCTCTTTTCCAGCAGTGATTTAATTCAGAAGGGAAACTATGCTGATAAAGCACTCCCAGGCCACACCGCCTATGTTTCACTTTGCTGTAAGAAACACCTTTTCCAAGCATTTCTGCGCTTTCTTTCACATTTTAAAAGAACTGCTTTGAAAACAACACGTGCAAGAAATTCAGAAAACAATCATTATTTTTTTGATCCATTAAGACAACACATATTTTTAATTTCCTGAAACTCTAAAATGCAAGAAGCTTAACTTCAGAGCAAGTTAGAGCTGAAAGCCCCGGTTTTAAACCAATGCTTTAGCCTGAGACTCCAGAAAAGAAAAAAAAGTAAATGCAATTGCTGTTTTTGTTAGCAATAATTATATGCATCACAACAACCGTCTCCAGTCTCCAACCGTACACCTCCACCACCAGGGTCCTTCACGCCCAGGAGTTTTTCATCCAAACAATGACTTTGGGAATCCTTTAGGTAACTACAACCTAAAGTTACGTGCTTTTACAACGAATTAAGACGTTCACAGAGGAGCAGACATTCTGCAAGGAGGCGCTTATTCAAGACAGAATAATCGTAAACGTTTATGATCAAATTTCCCCACACGGCAGCTCGTTGAAGAAATGAAATGGAGGGAAAAAGCTGAGTGTGAACTGATCTTTCAAATCCCCCACTGCATTCAACCTGACTCCCTGCACCTCCTTTCGCCTGTCTCCAGAAGTCTCTGGAAGTATATTTAGCACTTACCCCAATACTTCAACGGCAAACGCTTAACTTCTGAAAACAACAAAAGAAGGGGCTACAGAGCCACACAGTCCTTGGTTCACATTTAGAGGCGCGCTTCAAAAACCCCACAATGGAACTGTACTTTGTGAGGAGCTTTTGAAATTGTTCATTCAGGAACCACAAGCCAGAAGCGACCCGCTGTCTAATGAGGTATTTACCACCGACTTGGGCGCAGGGAGAGCCAGCTGCAATATACAAATTGTCGTCACCCTAATTTTAAAAACCAGTCGGCCGACCAGGGTGGCTCCGAGCTGCAAACGTTTGCAGGATCAAGAACGCACGGAGAATGCGGGATCCGCAGGGAACCACCCTGCCTGGAAGTCGGAACTGTTTTCTCACTAAGCAGCCGGCCTCTTTTGCTCTCCTCCTTTTCTAGGAAAATATTAAACCTAAGAATGACGCCTGCCGGCAGGGACAGACAGACGGAATGCCACCCCCAACTCCTACTTCAGCAGGCCCGCCGGCCCGCAGCTGCCGCCCGGCCCCCCGACGAGCCCGCGCCCGGGAGAGACTGGACGGGGTGGACTCTGGAGCAGGCACGGGGCGAAGGGAACCCGGCGGGTTCTCCGCGCCCCCAGACACGCCGAGAGCGGCTCCCTCCAGCCCGCGCGGAGCGTCCGAGTCCCGCCCGCGCTCCGATCCCCGTCCCGCGGGAGCGCAGAGATCCGCACCCCGGGCGCGCAGGCACTCGGGTCCCCCAGGCCAGGGGCTGCGAGGCCAGGGATGAGGGGCGGGAGAACAGGGACCCCCGAGGTGCCCCCCGAGGTGCCCCCGGCTGCCCTACCACCCCCTTCTTTCTCGATGCCGGCCCCTCGCGCCGCCGCGCGCCGGGGGCCTTGGGGACGCGCGCCTGCCCACCGCCCCGCGGCCCTCCCCGACCCGCCTCCCCGAAGGGCGCCCGCGCTCGACGGCGCAGCGCCCCGGGGGAGCGCGCGGGCCGCGGCTACGTACGGTTGTTGGGGTCGCTGGCGTGCTGGTTGAGCGGGATGATCTCCATGCGCTGCTGGCCGTACAGGTAATAGTCCAGCTCCTCGGCGCTGCAGCGGAAGCGCGGGGCGCCCCGGCCGTCCCCAGCGCCGCCGGCGCACTTGGCGGGGCCCGGGCCCGGGGCGGCGCCGAGGCACAGGGGGTCCTTGGGGGGCAGCGGCTCCGCGGCGGCGGCCAGGGGCGCGAAGAGCGGCAGCTGCGCCACCGGCAGGGCCGAGAGTCCCGCCAGCGCGGCGGCCGCGGCGCAGGACGAGGCCGAGGAGGCCGAGGAGCAGGCGGGCGCCGGCGTGGAGGCGGCGGAGAGCGAGCCCGGCCGCGGGCGCAGACCGTCCGGCGCAGGGTCGGCGCGGTCCGGGGGCGGCGGGAGCGGCTGCGGCGCGCCCAGGGGCCCCGCAGCGCCGCCGCCTTTGAGCGGGCCGCCGCCGCCGTGCGGGAAGAGCTGCTGCCAGTGCTGCAGATAGGCGGGGTCCACTTTGAGGAAGGCCGAGCCGCTGGGGTCCCCCGGCTTCAGCATGTCCGACGCCTCCGGCTGGGGGCACAGGGCAGAGAGGAGGGCGCGCGTGAGGCCGGCCCCGGGGCCGGAGCGAGAGGGGCGGGGAGCGCGGCCGCCGAGCCCCGGGCCCCAGAGCCCGCGCCCTCGGCGCCGCCGGCCGGGTTCGGCCGCTCCCTCCCGCCCCCTCCGCCGGGGCGCAAAGTTTCCTCCGGAGCGGCGGCGCGGGGGGCGCCCAGGGCAGCCGGCCTCGCCTCCGGCCCGCGGCGCCCGAGCCGCAGCCTGCCCGGCGGGAGCCGGCGAGAGGGCGCTTCGCGCAACTCGGCGGCGGGACGCAGCCCCCGCCCTCCGCCGGCGCCCGGAGCCGACCCGAGCCGGAGTGGCTCCGCGCCTGGGCCGCGCCGGCCGCCGGCGCCAGGAGGCGGGACGGTCTCGCCCCCCGCCCCCAGCGGGGACCTCCGGCCGCCCGCCCCCGGGTTCGAGACCTTCCGCCCCCCCCCGGAGCCGCCCCTTACCTGAGGGCGCGGGGCCGGGGCAGGCGCGCGCGCGCGTGCGTCTCGGCGGGCGAGCTGGAGAGGGTGCGCCCGGGCGCGCTACATGCCCCTGCGCGGCGCGGGGGTGCGCCCCGAGACCCGGCCGCCGGGCGCCCTCCCCGGCCTGGCGCGAGGGCGGAGGAGGCCGGCGGAGCGCGCGGGGCGATTCCTCCCGGGGCGCGGGGAGCGCCGGCGGACCCGGGCGCGGGACGGGGCCGAGGTGGGCTGCTTCGCTCGGCCGCCGCCGCGTCCCGGCTCCACGGCTCCACGCTCTGGCAGCTTCCCGTCTGGACACGTGGGTTTTACGACAGCACAAAATACAAGTGTGTGTGTGAGTGCGTGTGTGTGAGTGTGTGTCTGTGTGTGTGTGTGTGTGTGTGTGTGTGTGAGTGATGGGGGAGGGTAGGGGGAGAGCGTGCAGGGGGGAGGCGGGAGGCCGGCCAGCGCCGAGGGGAGGGAGCGGGAAGGAGGAAGTTCTGCCTGGGCTGGACGCACTCCGCCGCGCACCTCTCCGGCACCAATACCTCCTCCGCCCTCTCCCCAACCCCCCATTTTTTTTTTTTTTTTTTGCGTGACGTCTCCCGCTCGCCTGTTGTCTCTTTCAGCCCATGAGGTGTCTTTTCTCCATGCCCCATCCTGAAGGCGGTGGAAACCCGGGCGCATCTCCGCACGCGCGCGGTGTCCGCAGCGGGGCAGGCGCGCGCGGCCGACCAAGTGGACCCTGTCCCGGGACCGGGTTTGCAGTTTTGCACGACTGCGATTTCTCAGGAGTGCTGCTGCGAGCCGCCGTCGGCCGGCCCCCGCGCAACCGCCGACATAAATCCTCGGGGAGATGGGAGGGGGCTGCGGGGCGGGGCAGGTTGCGCCCCGGAATGAGACGCGCGGCGGGTAGCGAGGAGGAGGCGGGCTGCGGCCGAGCGGCGGGGCGCGAGACCCAGGACCTCGAGGAGCGGCGGGTCCCGGCCGCGGAGCTGGAGGCGGCCGCCCGCGAGTGCGCGCAACGCCCGGGGCGCACCCCGCCCACTCTCGGGCTGTCTTCCTCGGGGGGCTCGCGCCCTCTCCCTGTGGGCGCTTCGGAGGCAAGTATCCGGAGCTACTTCTGGTGGCACAACTGGCTCCAGGACCCTGGGGAGGCTGATTTTGTTTTGGCTACGCGGGGTGCCCCGGAGCCCGTGCATTGATCCCTCGCCCTAGAAGTGCGCAGCCCCGCTCCCTCCGGCTGACTCCAGGCGCCTTAGACCCAGCCGCACTGCCTGGGGCGGTCTCACCCCAGCGATTTGGGCACCCGCCCAGCTGGTGCAGAAATAGGGGTGCTCGGTGGGGGGACAGCACAGGCCGTGTGTGAAATTCACCCTCTCAGGCGCGCTCTCATCGCAGCAGTTCTTCTGTCCACCTCTCAGGGAACAACTGACATTTGTGTTCCCCCCAAACTAACCAACTTATTCAGGCACCCGCCACTCTGAACCATTAATAGCCACTCTTGCCTGGTTTCTGCTTGTTTCTTTTTGTCTTCCCATCGCTCATTTCGTCGGAGCCTGGGAAAGGCGCTGTTGGAGACTCCGCCCGGGTCTCACGCAGGATGCCGCGACGCTGGCTGGAGCAGAGTTGGACCGACGATGTTTTGACTGGCGTGGCTGTGACAGCACCATCAGTCACCCCAGGACAGATTGATAGTACCCGAGTTTAAGGCAAACACCACGAGGGAAAACCCTTGGTGCAGAGGACCCCGGGGCTAACCAGGCCGACTCCGCGGGCTTGGGGAGGACTGGATGAAGGGCCAGGCCCACTGCAATTAATCTGCTCGCAGAGCTGACCAAGGGAGGCTGTCGGGCCAGGAAAGAGGAGTCAAACTCGCTTTCTCACACTCTCTCGCTTCACTGCTGCGCTGCGGAGAGCCGCCCCTGCGCCCCGAAGAGGCGGGAGCACCTGGGCCCGGAGCCTCTTCAGCGCCCCGCGGCCCGCGCGTTGTGCTTCTCCGCGCCGACTCTCTGCGAGTGCTCGGCCCCAGGACTGGCTATTTCAGAGACCCCCCTCCTCTTACCGCCCCCCAATCGGACTTAAAAATCCCGGGAGTTTGAGCTGCTAGCTGCAGCAACTCTTCCCAAGGCCTTGGCCCCGCAGTCTGGGAAGCCCAGGGCGTCCCTTCTTCATAAGATTAGCAAGCGGGCTGGGCACAGCCTCAGACGTGCCACGGGCGCGGGCAGGCGCTTCAAGTGCATTGCGTTCGCCCAGCAGCCAAGCGAAGGAGGCGTTATCATTAGCTCATGGATCACAGGTGGGGCGCAGAAAGGTTAGGTAGGTCGCCTAAGGTGGCCGGTAATGAGTGGTGAAGGTAGCTTGAAACCCGGGTGAGGTGGCGCCAAGTGCATTCTCCTGCGCAACGCTGTAAAACCTCTCCCCTCGCCCCCTCCCATTCAGCTGACTCCGAAGGGGTGTGGGGGAGACTTGGCTCTCCGGGCAGCGGGGGCCGCACGAGAGGCACAGCTGAGCCGAGCCAACCTCCCCCTCTAGGCCTGTGTGGTGCCCCCGACCCGCCAGCTTCGAAGACAACCCTCTTCCCCGGGGGCGCGGGGCAAGCGCACCTCGCAAGGCCACAGGAACCCAGAGCCTGGAAACCCTGGAGAAGTCGCGTGGAGCGGGGCGCGGGGTGGACTCCGCGGGCTCGGGAGTCCAGCAGCGCAAGAAACGACACCAGGCGCTGCAGGGAGAGCCGGAGGATCCCAGCGCCGCCCCTGCAGGCCCAAGACGAGGGGCGGGGCCCCTGCAAAGGCCGTGACCTCACGGGCCGGATGGGGCTCGGGTGGGGCAGAGGTCGACTCCGGGGTGCGCCTCCTCGGGCTGCTTAGGTGGACCCCGGGTCGCCCCACACTAGATGCGCGGCGGGGCTGCCTCCTGCGCGCCCAGCTGATGCCCGAATCGACCGGGTTCCCACTAGCCAGGCAGGTCTCCGGGGTGTTCGGAGAGGGAGCTCACCAAGCGCAAGGACATGCAACCCCCCAAATCCGCTCCCCTCTTCATTGCGTAGAAGAACACCACGGAAACAAATCATTTCGACCACTTAGGAAGCGATCAAACCTTTATAAAAATCCATCGCTCCCAAATCGATGGTGAATATTTGCTGGGAATTTGTTCCAGAGGAATAAATAAGGAGCGCGAGTGTATTAAATGCAAACGGGGGGACACGGTGGTGTTTTTCTTCATTGATTAATGACCTCTAAAATAAAACAAGTGGGAAGAGGAGCCGAGATCGATAAATTAACTACCCAAATTCATCATTTTCTCGAGCCATTTTTTTCCCCCGAAAAATATCCTTAGGATACCCAGTGGACCCCGAGCTGGGCGCAGGGGAACAGCGCCCAGCCCAGGGCGGGGAGGCAGTGGCAGAAAGGGGCAGGCAGGAAGAGGATTCCCTCCTGGAGACGGGCTATCGGATTTCGTTTGACATGCAATTTTAAAGTTTGCCTTTCATATTAATTTTTTTTTTTTTTCCTGATGGAGGAGGGAAACAAATGGTCGGTTGCCTTTGACAGGACTCCAATAAAGGATTCAGCAGCTCTCCTTTTTGCCCTGGGAGAGCTCAGCTCCTGGGTTTAAGGTCATGGGTGGCTGAGTTAATAATTCATTAATATAGACATTTATTCAGAAGGGTTCTCTGTGATCCACTCTCCTAGCGTCCTCCTGGAGATTTATTTTCCTGGGAAATGGATGTGTGTGTGTGTGTGTGTGTGTGTGTGTGTGGACAGCAAGCGGGAGGAGCAGGAGAGGGCAGGGATGCAGACAGGAGGAATCTTTGTTTAGCCAAATGAGTGGATCGGTTCCTTCTAACCTGCCCTGAAAAATTTGGGGGGAAATGTTGCACCCAAACAGCACTGGCAGCCTGGGCTCCACTAGTCTCCTTTCCTACCGCCCCATCTGTTCAATGCTGCACTCACAAAGCACCCTCGCTTCTTGCTTTAGGGTCTGGAAAGAGCCATAGGAGGACCTTGGAATGCAGGGAGATGGGCGAAGGCTCTGGAAAGAGGCTGCCCTCCCCCCACCTCTGTGAAATTCCCGAAGGAGCAGCTGGGCAGCTGCCCAAACCTGAAATCTAAAGGACCCTCCACTCCTACGGGCACAGGTAGCTGCTGGCAGACATGCTAAACCCTCAGAAGGGGACTGGGAGGTGGGGGGAGCATTAAAACAACAACCCCCCCAAAATCCAGACTCCAGTGAATTTTAAGGAGGTCGAAGCAGAAAGCACATCCTAAGCAAGTTATTGTCAGATGGTAATGACTGCTGTGGAGAGCAGTGCAAAAAAGCACTGGGTATTAATTACTATTTTAAATATAGTGGTCAGGAAAGACTTCTCTTGAAAGGTGACATTTGAAAAGACACAAAGCAAGAGGTGCCAGTTTTGCGGCCAGAATGGGGTTTTGCCCTAACCTGCGTCCGAGGGGCTAGTACAGTAAAAGGGGCCCCTTGAAGAAGCCCAAGGCCCTGGGTAAGAATTCT